CACCACTAAGCGAGGTCATGCAAGTTTAATGCCGCAGCAATCACTTCATTTTGACCTCATCCAATGTATGACACCGTACGATGAGCAGGAAATGTCTCAGTCCATATTGATTTTTTAATTTTACTATCACAATCAGTATGCAACTTGGCTCTGCTTGTTTTCCTGTCTGACACCAACACCCCGCATAATAAGGCACTAGCTCATGGACTGTCATATCCAGCTCCACTGATTTCCCAAGCCATTGTCGAGCCCCAGAACAGGTAAAAGGACCGAACGTTGTGATCTATGGTTCGGTATCTTAGTGCCCTTTTTGGGGAACGCAAAAAAATCTGTCTTTGAGGGTAATTCCCATGGTTTGCTGAAGTCTATTTGAACCTTTGGCAACGCTTTGTGGTTGCGTGGCGGTTTGATAAACTTTGTGGGCATACTTTTTCTGTGAGTGAAAGCGTGGCAACATGCCTAACAGCCAGACAAAGTGCGTGCATATTACTTCTCTCTCTCGACTGTTTGGTTCCGACGAAGGCAAATCTCCAAGGCCAACCTTGGTACCTCAGGCAGTCAAAAGAGAAAAGTTCTCTACGCATGAGAAAACTCTTTCGGTCCTTTGTCAGCATCCTTGCCTCTCAAAGAAGACGCTGATTTTGAACTCTACCCAGTAAACTCTTAGTCTTGGCGCGGAAGAACAAATTCACCGTCCTTCTTTCACATTCTTTTCCCCCATTCTGCTGACATTTCGGAACCAAACCACAAGAGTATTCTGAATGAAAAACTCTTATGCTTACAAAATGGCCAGAGCTTCTGGTCAGGATTGACATATGCCAACGTAGCCACGCCTGTGTCTTCCAGCCACTGACGTGCGATGCCAACTCCACTGCCCCAGTTGTAGTCACAACCACCAATTATCTCCGCCTCAGAGAGGAGAGAAAGTATCCAGGACTCCATCTAGTTACTGCAAATTGAAGAGTGGAAGACTCGAAAAGGGTCCTTGTTCTCTGCCCCTCCGACCCCTCCAGCCCCTCTTTCACCAAGCGCAGATCCCCCGTTCTAGAATTCGACTTGAGCACTTCAGGCTTGGTCCAGGCGCTCAGGGCCAAGGCTCATAACTCTAAATGTCTACGCCCTTGTGATTTGGAAAAGTCACAGGTTCAGTGGTCCGGTCAGAGTGGTACATTGGCCTTGGGATATACAAGGAGGAACAAAATTTGGTATACTCGCATGAACAGAAAAGAAAATGAATAAAGACAAAGGGAGATCCTTGCCTCGGATGGATATTGAATACTGGCTCCTCCCAGCCAACATAGCTTACGGTGGAGTCACACAATCAGCTGTGTTGGCTCTCACCCTCACACTACGTAGTGCCAATCACCAATATGGAGCCCGTAGTCCGGCCAGACTGGACAGCGTTCCCTCCCCCGCTGTATCCTCGCGCTTCCGATGCCCCGCCAGTTCCAAGTTGATTTGTCGGTGGATGTGCACCAGCCAGTCCACATAGCTCTGCGCCTCGTTGTTGCGATCCTCCAGTAACAGTCGCGCAAACTCGTACTCGGCCCCGTCCAATCCCTGCCTTGCCAGCTGGATAGCCACCGCCTTCGATCCTCGGATAGTCGACAAGTACTGTAGCAGATTGCGCACTTGCGCGTTCAGGTGTGTCTCCAGCACGGGTAACGACGACATCTGCGGGTTGAGCCCTTGCAGTGATGTTTGCCCGGGTCCAAACAGATCCTCAAGCAAATTGGGGGAAACTTGAGAATGAAGCCATAGCAAAATCATCTGTCCGTTGTCTACCAGGTACGCTCCGCCTTCCTCGATCTTGGAATAGCTGGCGCGAAGCGCGGGTGGTACCTGTAATTGTCCCTGTTCATTCGGGAAGCCATCCTCCGGTTGCATGTTGTGGATGGGGATGATCCGGGGATACAGGTACAGTGACAGCTCTGTGCATCCTATTGATCGTAGCATCCGGATATCATGAATCCGCCGGTCGGACGATTCCTGGCCACCTGTTTGGCCTGTTAGCGGCGAATTTGTAGTTGCAAACCGTAGTATAGCTCACCCTTGAACGCCCTCGATTTGATCATGCTTAGCATGTACATGGAGAACTCCTTGAGATTCTCCGGCAACACGAGCTGTCCCGGAGGATGCGACCCTGAAAAGATCTTGCGGTATCCGCTAAAAATATCCACCGTCTTCTCGGTGATGCTGGCCCGGATGTCTTTGAGTGGTTTGTCGAGCGTTTTGGCCGCCGCTGCAGGACATTAGTATGCGCTCGTCTCGGAACCTTTGGTCTGCGTGTCGGATACCCACCTTCCTTGGCCATAATGCTGACAACTGCGTCCTGGTCAACAAACTTCATTGTCTCCAAACCACCTTCGTTGACAGCCGCCACCGTGTTGATGCACCGCACCCGACGCTGCCCGTTGGCGGAAGTGTACAACAGCGCAGCCTGGAAGTGAGCATCCAGCTTGGGATCCAGTTTGCCATCGTAACTGAAGAGAACACCAATTGCCTTGTCTGCATCAATGGCTCCAATCTCAAGGTCGGCTCCAAACGTATGCTGCACAAAGTTTCCGTGATAGGCCGACACCTGAAGACCATTCGAGCAACGCACCTTCATCAGTGCCTGGAAGCCGGTGTCACGGGTGACCGAATGCGCCAGCTCCTTTGAGAGTTTCAGGATGTCGCGCGGAGCATGGAAGTTAGGGTAAAAGAATGTCTCGCCGCCGGTGACCTCGGGGACATGTCCTGATAAGGTTGTCAGCGGGAACACCTCATTTCCAGCCAAAAGAGACTTACCGATCGTGGCAACGTCCATATAAGTCCCATTAGGTGCCGCGATGAACATGTCCACACCAATACCAGCTCCCGCCAGTTTACTGGCCGTCCCTCTCCATGCTGCATTCTCTGTGGTAAACAATTTCCGTTCCGCATCCGTTCCATGGACCTTGGGATCTTCCCGCCGCACCAAAGCCCCAGGGCCCCAAGTGGGCAAGGTGGCCACGGCACAGATGATTTTTCCTCCTGTGGCTTGTAGAGCGGAGAGAGCCGCATTCAGTGTTGGAAGCAGTGCAGGCTCAGGCTTCTTATTGTGAGCGAAAATCTTCGGAATCTGCTGCAGCAGACCAGTAATTACGTCCCTAAAAAAAGGTAGGTCAGTCACCTGAACGATTCCTGCAGATTTAGGGCTCGCACTTTGATTCGTAAGGATCCACGAAGAGCCCCTCGCTCAACGGCACAAATGGTTCTTCAAGGTCTGTCATCACCATCATCTGCGCTCCCTCAAGTTGTGCCTGCGTCGGTCAGCATCTGCAGCAATCAACAGTGATCACATGAACATACACTCAGATTGTAGAATTGTACTTCTCTGTCGAACGTGACAATACCAATCTTTGAGCCTTCAGGGATCCGTCGCGACGATGCTTCGTCCTCCGGATTTTCAGACGCTTCTGTGCCGTACAGAGCCTCCATGATACCCTTGCAAATACCCTTAAGAAACCCTCGGCTGATTGATTCGTGACTGACATCGATCAGGAACAACCACCGTAGACCGACAGGCTCCTTGTTCCAGTAATCCTTAGGTACCAAGAACTCGACTGTGCCCATCATCAGTTCCGGACGTTGCATGCGGTCCACACGCGCTCCTGACGGATCGAGAGGGGCAAAGTACTCCGGGGGAACGTCGTTGGGAAATGTGCACATATTGCAGACGAGCTTGTTCCCTCCGGACCTGAATGTCATGAACGGGTTGATGTATGTCCTGCATCGTCGGCATCGTGGAGGCCCAGCGTCTCCAAAGTCCAAAACGGGAATCGGCTGCTCACCCGGATCCAGTCGGGCCAGCGGCTGCAGGATCATTCCGAGAGGCAACCCGGTAGAGGAGAGAAAGTCGGCTGTAGATGGAATATTATTTAGCGTAAGACGAGCGTACTTCGGGGACGAATTGCCTTGGTCGTGGGCGACGAAGGGAATGGCAGCCGGGGGAGGAAGATGCCGTTCCATAGTCGGATAAACGTGGTTGAAATAGTACTGCGCAGGCAGGTCGCGAGACCGAGGAATGCTGGGGATCTGTTCGGGGTCAATCTTGCCCTGAGTTGCAACTGAGCCAGCGCCAGCACTCGCTCCGGCTCCAACCCCTAAACCAGCGGGCTGAGCTACACCAGCACCTGGCGAGATAGGACGCGCAGGTTCGGTAAGTCCGGTGTTCAGGAACTGCGATGTTGGCTGTACACCTCCCTGAGGCATCCCAGCAAACGGCTGTTGCGCCGAGGCAGTGGCAGAAGCTCCGCCAATATCATGGTACGCATGCCGATGCTTCTTCTTATGCGTCCGGGCTCCTCCTTCTCCTGAAATTCCCAAGCCACCCATTTGATGTGTCAACCCCGCCAAAGCCGGTTCTGCGGGAGCTGCCATCCCGGCCTGCGGACTTGTATTGTAGCCGAACGGAGGAGGGGAGGCCAGATGCGGGGGTTGCTGCGGTTGTTGCTGTAAAGGAGATGGCGAGCCGTAAGGGGGCCATTGATTCGGAGCTGCTGTGCTGTAAGGAACTCCTGGTTGCGGAGGAACAGCTCCAGGGCCGTAGCCGGCATGAGGATGAGACGGAGGGGGAACTTGGTGGGCCATCCGATTGGGATCGGAGGGGTCTTCAGGAGGCGCAGGTCCCTGGCCGACAGAGTAATACATTGATGGGTCTGCCATGCTGCTTCATAACGCGGATACCGTGGGACTGGGAGGAGAAAAAGGACGATGGCTGATCAATGCATCAATCTGTCGAGCACGAGCAGTAATTTCAGACGCGCAGAAAGCGTCTTCTATGAAGTTGAGATCGCCGAGAATCTTGTTCGACATCATCAACAACTGACCACCTAACAATTAACCGGATTTACGTCGCTCCGAAACAGCTCCCAAAATAGGCGGTTTGTATACATTCGGAAGTATTCCAGCCAATACCACACCAGCACGACGGATAATGTCGTCCTTTTTCTTTCAGGTCATTTATTGGAAAAGCAATGGCCTCAATCAACGATGATGACGAACTTCTCCTGGCCCGTATCGGGTACAAGCAGGTACTTACCGTCTCGGGGAATGTCCTCAATCGGTGCTAAGTACGAATCTCTCTAGGAACTGAAACGGGAATTCTCAAAATGGTCCACTGTCAGCTATGCCATCTCCATCTTGGGAATTCTGGGCTCAGTTCCAGCGACCTTTGGAGCTCCTCTGGCTGCAGGAGGACCAGCTACTGCGGTCTGGTGTTGGTTTCTGGGCTCATGCATGGCCATGTGCATCGGCAGCTCGGTTGCGGAGCTGGTCTCTGCTTATCCTACCGCAGGAGGAATGTACTTCGTTACAAAGCATGTTGTTCCTGAGGATCAGGTGCCAATCTTCTCCTGGGTTCAGGGCTGGTGCAATCTCTTGGGACAGACTGCGGGCGTTTCCAGCGTGGCTTACACGGTCAGCCAGATGCTGCTTGCGTGCGCCAGTATGAACTCTGAGTACTCTTACTCACCGTACAGATCACTGCTCCTAGTGTCGAGGCGGCTTCAGGGCTAATGCGAAGGTAGGACTGCAATGCAAACGGTCGCTCTATCTATTGTGATTCTGTGCGTGCTGGGTGTAATATGCTCTCTGACCACCAAGACTCTGCATCGGATCGTCTTCTGGTTCGCCCCAATCAATAGTATGTGACTCCTGCGGCCGGATCAATGCAAGGAGCCTAACTGGGCAGTCTCCGCGACAATATGTATCTGCATGATGCTCTTATACCTCACGCCGGACAAGCAGTCCGCTCGTTGGGTGTTTACACACTTTACGGATGGCTCTGGATGGGGCTCGAAGCTCTTTTCCTTTCTGCTTGGTTTCATATCAGTAGCGTGGACAATGACCGATTACGACGGAACAACCCAGTACGTTCCCGGTCTGACCTTCTATACTCACTTAGGCTCATAAGGTCTTAGCATGTCAGAGGAAACTCACGACGCAGCCTCGCTCGGGCCGCTAGCAATCCAATCTGCAGTCCTGGTGTCAGGCATAATGGGATGGATCCTGACTATCTCAATGTGCTTCTGCTTGACCGATCTCGACAGCATCCTTCGAACCCCCACAGGTCTTCCAGCGGCCCAAATCTTCCTGAACGCTGGCGGAAAGACCGGTGGCACAATCATGTGGGGGTTTGCCATCCTAGTCCAGTTCTTCACTGGCTGCTCGGCCATGCTGGCAGATACGCGAATGGCATACGCCTTCGCCCGTGATGAGGCCCTACCGTTCTCCTCGTAACGCACCCCGTCTTTTCCCCCTTTTCATCGCACACAAGCATAACACTAACAAAGACAATCGTCAGCTTCCTATCCAAAATTAACAAATACACCCGCACTCCCGTCAACGCCGTCTGGTTCGTCGTTCTTTTCAGCATCGGCCTCAACTGCATCGCCATCGGATCGACGCAAACGGCCACCGCGATCTTCAGCATCACAGCCCCAGCACTGGATCTCTCATATGTCTCCGTCATCCTTGCCCATAGACTCTATAAGGATAAGGTCAAGTTCGTCGAGGGGCCATTCACGCTTGGTCGATGGGCCGCAGCCATTAACTGGATTTCCATCGTCTGGGTCTTGTTCATTAGCACGGTGCTCTTCTTCCCGCCGACTGTGCCGGTCACGGCGTCGAATATGTAAGACTCGGTCCCTGGCAACGCGAGTAATCCTGCGAGGGATGGGCTGACTGACTGGTCAACAGGAATTATGCGATCTGCGTGGGTGCTTTTATCGCTGCGTTTGCGCTCTTTTGGTGGTGGGCGTATGCGCGTGGGTATGTACCTCTATCTACGTCTCAAGGTAATAGTTCCGCATTAACGCCTCTATCATTTTCAGAAAATATACTGGTCCGCGGACGAATGAGTATATACAAGAGATTCCCACGGAGGATTTGGACGAGGACTATGGAACATTGCGTTAGTTTTCAGCTAGGTCGTGATTCAAGACCAATCTACGTGCTTGGCTTGATGAGCTTGATTGGATTTTTGTCCGTGTCGTCCCTGAAAAAATGTTCTTCCCAATTATGTTTTAGACGTTTCCATTAGATGGTTGAGATTATAGATAGCTGCAGTTATCCTAGGTCGATGCGTGCAATTTAACAACGCCGAGCATGTTACAAGCTACATACAAATACATCATGAGGACTTGCCTTATGTATCCTGGTATGTCTATGGTCAACTTCCCGCAACAACTGCAAGACCCTCGTAGATCTTCCTCTTCACCGCTAGGAAGCTTCCCGCACCGCGTCCCATGGTCTGTTTCATGGCCGCCGACTGCGCAGATGCCTCGATCTCAATCCTGCCAGTACCCGATTTGCGAACAGCCACCATTCCATCGATGAGAAGCGTTCCCTCACCACGGAACTCCGCCTTGTGTCCAGCGCTCTGCATGACTTTGCGCAGATCCGCCAGTCGAAAATCACCCACATGCAGAGGTCGAGTCATGGACCGGGTACCAGCCGCCATGTTCGCCGGTAAAACATCAAGCACAGGGAAAACGTCGGATTTGTCCGCGGCTGGCTTGGTTCCGTCAAGGGTGGATGTTGCTGCAGAACTGGCCTCGGCCTGCAACACCTTTTGTTTCTTGCTTGCCGACTCCTCGGTTCCCTCTTCGGGAGGGCTGAGTTCCGGTCCTCTCAGTTGGGCTGTTAGGGTTACTACACCCAAACTGCGAACGTGCTGCCATCTCAGGCGCCGGACGAGATTGGTGCTCAGCTTGACCATCCAAGCGTTTGTATCAACACTGGCATCGACCATTTCACCGTTTGTTGGCGTGAAAATGAGGCCCGAATCTGGAGACGAAACATCGACGCCAGCTTTGGCAGCAAGAAGCTTCTTGCACTCTGTCGCCAAGGCGGTAGTTTCCTCCTTCATTCCTCCAACCAGAATTAGTTTCCGCGGCTGGATGAGTGGAATCAGCATCTCTAAACTGCGCTTATCGTGTAGCCCAGTGAAGTCCACAAAAGCAAGGCGTGCGTTGATGGTGATCGAGGCCTTCTCGAACACGGCTTTCGCGGGCCCTTCAAACGATTGCTCATCGGCTTCATCCTCTGATGATATCGCCGCATCAGCACCGTCCGCATCATCGGTCATGCTGAGATCGTCCACGCCACCCGAATCCCTCTTATGAGCGTCGTCGGCGACCTGTTGCCGCTTGGCGCCGCTATGGGAGGCTCGACGTCCGTGCGGGCCGGCCTCGTCCCACCGTCGTTTTTGGCCCAATTTGGTCTGAGCTTCGGACCGACGCTGCTGCATGTCTGCCTCTTCCCGCTCCTCGGCTCGTAAATACTCCTCGGGCCGAATAAATTCTCCATACTCGTCTCCGCGCTTTCTGGGAGCTACATATGGGAACATTCGTTCGCGGCCCTTCTTCCCACGGACATCGTAGTCGTACACGTTCTTCCGCCGAAGAAGAACGTTCACACCCAGATCTTCGTCGCTAAGACCCAGCTTGTTGCGGTTGGCATGAGCCAATGAGGTGGAAAAGTTCAAGACCCGTCCCTGCTGCTCCGTCTCCGAATCTTCCGACGTAGAGCTCGATCGGTCGTCAAGTACATCCGTCGGGTTCTCAAGATTTTCTTGACCTCTTGTCTGCGATGCATCCTGCAGTTGTCTCTTGGTGGCGAGATATTGCTGATAGATCAACTGCTCCCCGGGGTCAAGGGGTGTTCGCCGTACATCTGTCCAGGAAAGTTCCCGTCCGCCGCTATGGACCTGCTCAAGGAGATCACCGTCTGAGGCTTTCTCCAAGGCAACGCCATCCTTTCTCTCTTCGTACCATTGCCAGATCATGCTTCCAAGGGTCTCCCTGTGATGCTCTTTCTTACTATCTGAAGGCCGTTCTTTGTGAAGGTTTTCGGTCAGTAGGAGGAGGTTGTTCGGTCCTTCGGCTATCAAGCGTAGGGATTCCTTTGCAAATCCCCAATCCAGAGATGTATCAGACGCAATAATCACCTTCGGTTTTTGATCCGTCAATACCTTCTCCAACCTTTTCCTACGTTCAACTGTCCTGAGATGTTTGAAGGTGAAAGGACCTAGTCCCTTAGATCCCCCTTTGCTTTGGCCTTGGCCACCGGACCGTTGACCATCAGCATTTGACTGTGGTTGGCCCGTTGCAGGGTCCACGCCTTCCGCTGCTTCGAATTCACGCACAATGTTCTCATCCATCCATTCAAGCATACTCCTCGCCAGGCGCATTGTAGTGTTCGCTTTTCTTCCGGCCAGGTATAACCCAGCGTTCTTCAAGGCAATGTCGCTTTCATTATTTCCGCCAGCCACATCACGCCACGCATGCTCCAGCGCATATGCAAGCTCCAAGACTCGAGCACTAGTGTCAGTTGGGATCAGGACAGTACCGCCCTTCGCGAGACTGCTCCGTATCATATCCAGGAGCAAGTCGTCACGTTTCTTTCGCCCACCAGGAAGAGCAAACTTGTCTCCTCCCCGCGTGCTGCAGACCAACGCCGTCGGCTTGCGCAGTTGTTCAACGACCTCTGCTCCACTGGCACCTGAGCCTCCGAACCATGCAGCGCCGGCCACAACGCTTTCTCGGGCCTGATTCCAATCCACTGCGTAGACAATCGATTCCATACCATGCTGAATATGCCATATAGTTCCACCCACTGTATGTCCAGCATTGTACGCAGTGAGGGTCAGCCCGTTCAGCGGCGGCGAGAAAGGAGACGAGAGCGGCTGGTGCGGTTGGGAATACTTTAACGGATGAATGAGAGAAAAGTATCTGGCAATCTCCTCGGTGGTGGGAGGCTGAAGGAGAATTCGGCCAGCGCTGCTAGCTGCCGTGTTCCCTTCCCCATCCGTGACAGACGCCGCGGCGGATGCGGCTGAGGTTGACGCGCCGGGTTCCGAGATTGAAGCTTTTGGTAGGAACGTCGCTGCAAGGGGCGAGGAGGCATACAGATCTTGAAGAAGTGTTCGACCGAGAGCGATGATAGGACTCGTAGCGTAAACTGGTATCTGGGTAAAAAGAGGAAACGTCTTGCAGCAGTGAACGAAAGCACCGATGTGCGCCGGAGTCGCGTGAGTTAGAAGTATAAGTGACAAGGTAGGAATATGCCTGTTCGGAATTTGTGAGTATGCGATGACGAGCTTAGCTTAGCAAGCTGCTTACTTCTCCAATTCTAGTAGGTCCAGCGTATCAAAGGTATCGTCCCAACCGACGTCCACGAGGATTTTGATGCCACCGTCAAGTTCCAAGATAGATTGTGAGGCCCTGGAGGAGGACTGCGCACCCAGCAGGGGAGTGAAGGTAAACATATTGGCGGTCCTTCCAGGTCTACCCGGAAGTATCTGGTGCAGTAGAGGTGGTTTTGGGAACCGACGATGGGAACACTCTCAATTCAGAGATCGCCCATAGAGAGGATTGCGAGTATAGAATATCAAGTCATATCATTTTATCATAGCCGGACAGAACAATTGTTAGCACAGCAATGAGAGCTGCTAAGATGCGATAATGAAGACAATAATATGCGATACGTCCCCGATGGTCGTTTCACTACTCATGTTTGCCTCGTTTGCATTGCGACCCTTCCTGTGAAATATGGTGCCTCAGGCATCTTATGGTCCCATTGTTACCAACCACATCACGACTTTTATTTACATTCTATCTGCCTGCAGCGCTCTCGCTTGCATCGTGCTTCCTGAATAGCTCCCAATATAACTTTCCAGTTCTACATTCGATCACTTGGATCTACACATCTTGATATCTTCAGCAGAGAATACTTACACTTACACTTACTCTACGACCCTCCAAAGTGCTCCTCGCCTTTTACTTTAATGGCGACAGTGGGGATGAGCATCCTAGAAGAGACTTGGACAGATGGATGGAGAACGAAAAAATGATGCTTGGTCGTGAACTAAAATAATTGAGGCATATTGCAAACAGAAATATTTGACCAAAGCACTCACCAAGACAGATGGCACAGATGGCTTAATCCATCCTGCGGCCTGGCCGTAAATCCTACCCTTACCTAGGGTAAGTAATCGAGAGGCCGAATCCCAGCAATACCGCAGAATCCGCATAGACAGCATGTCCTATTGCTCTGCTGTCATCAATTCGTGTCCGGTCGTCATCCACAGGCTGCAGGGCCGCATAGCAAGACCGTCGACGAACCCGATCTAAGGCCGTACTTATTTTCGACCAGTACGTTTCGGATATCTGCTTTGCTGCGCGGGGGCAGCTGCACCAGCGGCCTTTGCTGTTCCGGCAGTCGTCGATTTCTTTGTTGTGCGGGCTTTTTTGACCTTCCCAGCAGTGCCAGCACTCGCAGAGCCATCATTATCGTCAGAATCAGCAGCGGCCCCAGCAGCCTGCTTTGGTAAGCCGCTTGCAGCTCTCTTCGCTGTCTGGCCTTGTTCCACTCGATTCCGATCGTGGAATGGCCTGTGCTCGAGGGAATAATCGGGTACGAGCTTCAATTCATCGTTGCTGATGTAATTGGGAATCTCGTCGCCTGGCCATGTCCTTATGCGCCGGAGAGCTCGCTGAGGGAAGTGTTTCTTATAATTCTTCTTCAGCTGCTCTAGGGCTTCAGTCACGAGCTCGTCTTCTTTTGATCTCTGAATGTCTGGCTCTGACTCTGGCTCTGTCTCTGGCTCCGACCCTGTGTCTGGTGGACCCCGCGGCGCTTGTTTTGGCGTGTTGTATACAATGCGACGGGGGCCGGCCTGACCCGGTCGGGGCCCTACTTTGATCTTCGCAACTTCCCTGATGCCTTTTTTGGCAGCCAGGTTACCTACATGACTTTAGTAAATCACTTCAGTCTATAAATAGATCTCATAGGCCTCCGGGGGTTTGGGGTTTTGCTTGGACGAACGGGTCATCTCTTACCTCTCTTAAGTGGATCTTGCACAGCAAGCCTTGGCCCCGATATCATGGGCAAACCATTAAGTGCACCATCCATGG